TGATTAGTAGAATCTCTCATGGATTGGTATCACCCGAATATAGGTTGATTCATAACCGAAACGGGTCAACAAATACCTTGTCTCATTTTTTCTTTTGAGTTCTGCATTTAATACATTGACAATGTACTATTATAACTGTGAACTAACCACGTTTCGGGAATTGACTTTATTTGAAGTGTTTGAAAGTGTATTGTTTGATCCATTACTTCCCAACAGCCTATATTGATATGAAATACCAAATGGTTGCACTATTCCTGCACTTTATAATGTTCTTGCTCGTTTAATAGTATTTTTCTCTAGTAATAGTATCCTTGTAGTTATCCCATCCATTGTTGTTACTTCAATTGATATGCTTTAGCCCCTCAAAATCCTAGTTTAGATTATTATGATAAGGGTTGTGGCAAATGAGTGGATCGCGACCGCACTAGATGCCTATTGCAATGCACTCATTGCCACAAAATGGAATATCCTTGGAAACTTGCTATAGCCTACATGGACATCCTTGTACAACAAATATACTTGCTTTTAACTTGACCATTTGTTTTTCGTCTAATGATAGTTAGAGATCGCATGCGTTTTATATTCATTTCATATGCGATAATTGGGTGATTTTGATTGGATTCTACCTAATTTATATGCGAATTGTTTATTTATTGTGTGCAGAGGGCAAATATTAAATTTGGCATAATTGGCAGAAAAAAGAAATAAAATTAATTAAAGGCCCAAAAGCCCATCTACAAAATAATTAGGGCAAACATTAAATAAAATGAGGGATCACACGTTTCAAAAGGGAGAGGACGGCTAGGGCAGAAACACACAGGAGCAGGAGACTGACAGATTCATAGATCGCGCAGGAGCAAATCGACAGAGAAGATTTCCCCTTCCCACTATGACTTCATCTTTCTCTTTTGTTCTTTGTTATTTAATTATGGAGTAGATACTTTTCTGGTTTGAGGGGTGATAATGTTTTGGTTCTTTTGTTTTGGAGATTTTTTATTTTTTTTATAAAAGTTCTTTTTGATTATCAATATTTGTCTGATTCTGAGAATAGCGTTTGTGATTGTTAGATTGATTGAATATTTTGGTACCGATATTTAAATTAGTCTGATAATCTAAAGTCAATTCAAGTAGGATATCCGTAATTGTATTCGCACTTGAATAGGTGACAACCGGGTTGAATAGTTCCTTCCCGGGGGTTAGACAATCAAATCTAATTGCTTCTCTTAGATAGTAATTGTTTTGAATTGGGTTTTTCTAGATTGGAATGCGTTTAGGCAATATTCTTATGGGCACACCTAGGTTTATTTGCTTAATTAGGGGTAGTTAACGGTCGTACCTTAATTACCTACACCGTAAGGAAAAATTGGTTGTCAGAGCTTGTTGATAACTATAACCAATTTATTGATACTTTAATAAGAATTAATTTAATTGAATTAATGATAGAACACAAGTGCCATAACTGCATCATCCCTTGAGCCAGACATCCCCTTGATAGTCAGTTCCCCTTTAATTTAATTGTTTTGTTATTTTATTTTAATTAGATAATAAAAGAAAATTCCCCTTTTATTTACTGCATTAGAACACGAAAGAGTGAATCACACAATCCCTTTGGAGACGATCCCTTCCCCTATATTACATTAAACTGTGATCACGGAGTAGGTGAAATATTTGATTGACCGCGCGACAGGTCATCTAACTTCATCATCCTAAGTCGTTCCAATTATGTTACATTCCTTTGGTTCCAAGGATCCCACGTGTTGCCCCCACCACATCCCCCACTAGGTCTGGCACCTTGCCTAATGCCCACATCCCGTTGTTGGAATTCCTCAATCTTCCTTTCCTTTTGGTCTGTGGGTTTTTATTCCAGTGTCACCGGCCGTAGGTTTGCTTGTACGGTTTTTCGAAGCCAATCTCGCACTATGCGTACACTATGCTCTCAATTTACCCTACACATTTCTCATGATTAATTATATGTAGGAACTACTTGCAATTTAATGCCTTTCTCTTCAATAAATAAATACACATATTAAAAACTTCCTATTTCTTTTTTCAAAACAATTTATGATAATTATATATTATACTTTACTATATAAAATTATATTTTCTACACAATAACCTACATATTAAATATACTTTTTATTGAGGTATAGCTTTAATACATACTTTACTACATACTTTTAACCTATTTTTAATTAAATATTACATTATATCCCACAAGCCATCCAAAACTATTTTATTCATCTCAGCTAAAAGAATTTCAAATCTAAAATACCTCTAAATCCAAAACAATATTCCAAGACATATCCAAACATACTATATTTGGTAGTTGTCCTTGCAAATGGCACTAAAGCATATTCCCAAACAGTTGGTGATGATTGTTTGTCGCCTCCTTTACCATTTGAGTTTGTTCTTTATGTTCCATTTAACCTTATATATATTAGTCAACTTTATCTTTGGACGAGTAATCCCTTTGTTATTTACGATTGCAATTCAAGGCAAGTAATAGATACCAAACATGAGTCTCACGGGTTGTATTACTTCATCAAGCCTCTAGGCCTTTCCTCTACTTTTGCTACTACTTCTCTTTTAAGTCTTTTGAATTGTTCATGAATGGTTGGGTCATCACAACTTATCCAAATTAAAGAATCTTATTCCTAGCTTGTGTTTGCTTTGAGTTTTTCCAATTTCAAATAAAAACCATTACGCATAATCTCAATAAAAAATATATTATTTCCTCTTATAATACATCACATTAAATCATTATTACACAAACTCAAACCATTTTTCAAATCCAAACCAAACAAACCCTTAGTCTTTCATCACTATTTTCACTATCAAGTCGTACGAGCTTGGAAACACTCTTGTATTTCTTTTCCAAAGTGTACCAATATTAGGCACTTGAACCCTTTTGCGTTAGTTCATTTGGATATTAGAGTCCTTGTCATACTATTTCTCTTGATTTTTAGTATATTGTTACTTTCATTGATAACCTTTCCTATTGTACTTGGTTGTATACGATGAAAAAATCAATTCTAACTGTTTTCTATTTTGCTGAAGTTCATATACAATGTAATACTTCAATTAAAATTTTGCAGAGTGGTGATAATGGTAAGAAATATTTTTTCACTCCCTTACCAGGTATGTTTTTTTCTCTTAGAATTATTCATCAATCTTTTTGCCCTTCTAGCCCGCAACTAAAGAGGGTGGCTGAATGAAAGAATCGTTATTTGATATAACTTGCTTGTACTCTCCTTCAAATCATCATATTTCCTTTCGTTTGGGCTAGTGCTATCCTAACCACGTGTTTCCTTATCAACCGTCTTCCGTCTACTTCATCAATTTAATATGTCATTGTATCGTTCCACATCCATATGTTTTTTGTTGTTCATGCTTTCTTCATGACTATTCTCCTAACTTGTATAAATTGAGACCTTGATCTATCAAATATGTTTTCATTAGTACTCTAGGGTTCAAAAAGGTTCACATTATTTTAGTGTAGATGTTACCCTTTTTAAGTTGTTTGTTCTTGAAATTGTTGTCTTCATCTCCTCTACCGTCTTCAACCGCTATTACGTCACTTGCATCCTTTTGATGTCATAGCCTATCCCAATCCCCCTCCCCCCATTTCAAGGTTATAGCTGCCATATGTGGCACAGTCAAGATCTGCTCCGTTCATAGCCGCCTTCTTTATCTTCTGCCCCATCAATGATCACCTCTACATCATCCACCAAGCCTACAACTCTACTATCACATGTTGTTCTTTGTCGAGGTACTTAATCCGCATTTAACCACAATCTTGTTTATCATCTACTTAATTATCACCAATTCTCCTCTACACTCTTTTGTGTTATGTCTGCTTTAAATAATCTCCATAGGCATGGTTTTGTTGGACGTTTCAACCTTGTTACTTAAGAAGTTGGGATATGTGCGTCAGATCACACGATCTCCTATAAGCATGCCTACTTAGCTGTCTATGTTGATGCTATTAGCATAATTGAGGTTGATATAAATTGCATTACACAGCTGAAGGAATACGTACACAACCCTTTTCAAACTAAGGATCCGGGACCACAGAGGTATTTTCTAAGTATTGATATTACCGTGGCAATGAAAGGGTTTCCGAGAAAGGTTTCACCATATAAAAGGGTTTCCGAGAAAGGTTTCGTCAATCTCCTTGTGGTTCTCATTAGAAAACACTTATTGATACATAACAGGGTTTCCAAGAAAGGTTTTGTCATATAAAAGGCCACTCTAAAATTGTTGGATTTTACTATACTGATTGGGTAGGATCTCCAATTGAAAGGCATTTTATCTCGAGCTATTGTATGTTAGTTTGAGATAATTTGGTATCTTGGAAGATTAAGAACAAAATGTGGTTGCACAGTATCATGCCATAACCTTAGTTATACATGTGAGCTGTTTAAAGCAATTGCTCTGTGAACTCAAGTTTTGTAAGGTGAAAAGGATGAAGTTGACAAGATGTGATATGATAACCACGCGGCACAACACAGTGCCTCAAATCTAGTGTTTTATGAAACAAATAAAGCATATTGAAATCATTGTCACTTCGTCAAGGAGAATGTGTTACTTGAGTGTAGACAATAAGTATGTGTCTTCAAATTATCAACTTGCATATATATTGACAAAATATACTTTCAGGTTCTCGATTTAAGTTTATAAGTAACAAGTTCGGATCATATGACATGCTTCAACTTGAGAGTGAGAGTGTTGTAGTTCCATTTACTTATAGTTAGTTTAGGCATAGGCATTTAAAGCATATATTCTATATCTATTGAGAATATAAAATATCAATTTACATGATATTGAATACAAATTTATACTAAGTTTGAATTTAAATTGACAATACGCCAATGTAATACTAACATAACACTACAGAATATAGATGAGGCATTTGTTTAATAAATGAAGTAAAACAAATAGTGGAAGGTTGACAGCACCCAATGTTGCAATAATGAAAGTGAAAAAATAATAGAGACTACCTCTGGAAGAAAGCCGCTATAGTACAAAGAAAACAATGCTGGAAAGATTTTCAGCCTCGCCAGCTCACCAGTAGCCCCGATAACAACAATGCTGAGAAATTTGTGTGCATCCGGAAAAGATTTCAAAGATGCGCTAGCTCTTTTGGATTTACCAGACTGATTAATTATAGAATTCTTTTCATGCTGAGTGTTGGAAGATGATGAGGTTTCTGTAACAACACACTCAAGTAATAACAGAAGGTCACAGTATGAAACAGAATAACATATATTTCTTCTACTTATACATTTTCTTTAAATCTTTTGGAAAAATTCATGCTCATTCAGTCATCCCTTCGTCATATTTGCAACATATAGATTTGATGGTCTAAGGGAAAACATTAGTGCAAATATTAATATTGAGTGAATAAAGCTTCAAATATGTAAAGTCAGCATACTAAAATATCTTCATCTGTGCATTAGCAATTATAGAAAAATATGAATTTTCTAACCATTTGGTACAACAGAGGCAGAGAAATGTTGGATATCTTGTCTTGGATAATAGGTATCTGAGGGGACAGGTAGCTGATCTTTGTCATCAATTTGCTGCATCTTGAATTCAGTTTTTCGTTCATGTTTTTGTTTTATTTTGGACCCTTGATATTTCAGGTTTCGATGCATCCAAAGCTTCAAACCTCCGAAATTCCTGCAAATCATCGAAGTACTTCCACAAAACAAAGGACAACTGTGTGCAGCTAGAGCTGCAAAATTTTCTGCCACCTGCAAGCCCCAGATTGCATAAAATGAAGGCTTAGCTTAAGCAGTTAAGTTGCCAACTAAAAATTCAGCAGCTTTCTTAGATTACAGTCAAGCACAATTCCTTCCCTTTCATTAAATTTGAACATAGCTAAACAATTCTATAGAATCAGAACTGAATAAACAAAAGAATTCCCTATCCTCCTCGAATACTGTCCAAACTATACAGTGACACACTGCACTGAAGTATAACACGAAGTTAACTGGACCACAGCTTTCCGTGTTTCAGAAATTGACTGCAGCAGCCATGACTAACATCCTGTCAAAACCACCTTCTCAAGTTCATACCCCGTAACAAAAATTTGTGCATCCATACCAGACTGTATTTATTCTCTTTAATATGTGATGACAATAGACATGACGGTTATACATGAGGAAAATTGCAAAAAATATCCCCATGTATAACCCATTATCACTTTTGTCCGGTATTTATTTACATATTTGCAAAAGTCGCACAGCCAAAGGATAGAAATAGCGATTTTTGCAAATATGTGGGATATATTTTTCAATTTTCTTGTTATACATGCATTAATCAGGAAATACTCCATTACCAAGACATTGATTAATGCCAAAAAGGATATCTTTAGGGAAATGAAAAGCTCACAATGTAGAACATTTTTAGCTTAATTGAGTTTTAGACATGTCTGGGTGTACTGCCACACAGATGAAAACAGCAGCACTTAGACATAAATCACAACTGGCACTCATGAACAAATATCTCTATATCACACACTTGATAAAGCAGCTGCTTCCAATGACAGCCACTAGTATTTCCTTATCAACCAAAGCCCTAAGAAATGACTCGAGACAACAATTCCCTTTCGACCCCTTTTTCCCCTTCTTTCTACACTAGCGTCCAATTTTACACAAATTGCATTAATTATTCTCCCAATTGTCCTCTCAATGAGGCACGGTCCTGAACTCTAAAAATAAAAACATCACTAAATCCAAATTCTATTATAGGAATATTAGAAATATTTTCCGATCAAAAAATAGAAATATTCAGTATGCTAACTTTTTATTGCATAATCCTCCCGTTAAACAATAGCATGTTTTTCGGGGTAAGACTGTTATCATAAGAAGAAGAGAACGAAGAAGACCGATCCAGAAAGATTTTACCGACAAAAATTGTCGGAAACCAACAAAACTTACAGGACGACGAGGCGGAGAAGTGAATATGTTTAGATAGACAGCAGGATGATGAACGGACGCCATTTCCGATCAATCAATCGCTTCCTCTGCCGCTTGTCTTCAATGGGATTCGGATTCAATTCATAAACAGGATTTTCGTTAGGGTTTTGTATCACCTAAGGCAGTACTATAACGGTCATGAGTCATGACTATTGCCATACAATGAAGCCGAAGTATGATTTGCTTTTACTTGAGATTTACTTGGATTAATGTAAGAGGTGTGTTTTTCTAATAATTTTTTAATTTAATTTTTGATAAATATTATTAAAAAAATATAATATTTCCCCTTGTTTTCTCTAACTCATATTTGTATAATTTTTTTTTATAAATTTTTTTATTAATATTTTTATAATTTTTATATTTTGATATAATAATTAATATTAAAAAAATAACACGTAAAAAAAAAAATTAAAATCCGACATAAATAGCATTTTTTAAATATAAATTAAAAATATAATTTTTATCTTTATCACTTACATTTGTCTCACTAAAATATAATATATTATTATGTTTGATAATAGTATTATTAATTACAATGATCTATATACCAATGTAGTTTTTATAGCACTAAATATTTAATTTTTTTTTCTTATAGAAACATTGGTTTTTGTCTCCCTCTAGGTTGGACTTATATTAGTGCAATTAACAAAAAGAAATTGTTAGTTATCTTAAAATACATATTATATAATTTTTTATTAATTGTATATTTATTTACAGATATTTAAATAAGTTTTAAAATAATAATTTTTTTTTATAAAACAGTAATAATTAAATAAATAATTAATTAGATAAAACTAATTAGTGAAGATAATAATGAACTATACCTTCACTAATAAAAAGTGAAAAATTGTAAAAAAAAAAAATCTAAATTCAAAAAAATAAATTTAATAAAAATATATTAAAGTAATTTATAAATAAATAAGTAAAAATTTAGTAACAAATATTTCATATTTATAAAAAAAGTAAATTATAAAAATATTATGTATAATAATAGTAACTTTGTTGACAATGAGTGAAAAACTATAAAACAAAATTAAAAAAAAAAAAAGAGAGAGAAAAAATTCAAAATTGCACAAATATTGAAAAAAGTAGGGTTACATGCAAAAAGAATTGTTATTTATTTTAAAATATATTATTATAGAAAATTTTTAATTTTATATTTATTTTTAAATATTTTTATATTTTAGAATAAAATATATAATATAAATCTAAAAAAAAAATATATTACTAAAATATATTCATAGAAGATAAATTATTTAATAAAAGATAAATTTAAAAAACTAAAATGAATACATAGCGATAAATGTTTGCTAATCAAAATTAATAGTTCAATTTTTATTGGATATAAATATTTTTCCAAGTATAAAATTATATACTACAATAGAAATAAAGATAGAAAATTATCTTGAATGTTCAAGACAAACTTAAATTTATAAAAAGAGAAATTATTTATTAAAATATAAAATTAAACAAAGTAGAATGATGAGATAAAATTTTGCAATTATTAGTAATTATTAAATACATGAAATATTAGGTTGATATACATAAATATTGGATAATTCTTTCTACAAATCTTTTTTCAATGCTGAAGATGAAAATAAACCTAAAATTATTAAAAATAAATAAATTATTTAATAAAATATAAATTTTAAAAAAGTAAAACGATTTTTTCTACCAAATTGAATAATTCATCAATAAAAATTCATTAAAAAACTTACTTCGGACTTTTGCTCCCGGTAGAAATCTCCTTTAATAAAAAATTTTTGCTTATACAATAAAAAGAATAAGGTTTAAAAAACTATACAAAAATTCAAAAAATATATTTAATAAAAATGAGTATGAATCAAATAGTAGGAAAGGAAGATGAGGAATAAATAAAATTTTCTGTTAAAAAATACATAAAATTACAGTTTTGCAATACCAAAAAAAAAAAAAAAAAAAAAAACGCCGTGTAAAAAAATTATACAAAAATTCAAAAAAAAACTCTATACTTCCGCTCCCGGTGGTAATTTCCTCCAGTATTAAAATTTTTTTTATATCATTAAAAAAAATGGCTTACTGTAAAAAAAAATATAGAAATATTCAAAAAAAAATTATTCACAAGAAATCAACTTCTGCCCCTGGCGGCAATCTCTTCCAGTACAAAGATTTTGTTTCTACCATAAAAAACATGAGCTTAAAAAATTATACAAAAATTTAAAAAAATATATTTAATAAAAAAGAGTATGAATCGAATCGCAAGTTAGAAGATATAGAACAAATAAAACTTTATGTTAAAAGATAAAAAAAAAAAAAAAAAACTTACAATTGAGATTGATTCTAGTTTAGATCTTGTTTCTGCAATTAAAAAAAAATCATGTAAAAAAATTATACAAAAATTCAAAAAAAATCTAATTAATAAAAATTTTATCTTCTACCATAAAAAACAGGGCTAAAAAATTATAAAAAAATTCAAAAAAAATATAATTAATAAAAATAAATATGAATCAAATAACAGAAAAATATAAAAATTTTGAGAAAGAAGTAAAAATTAGATTAAAAAAAAAGAACAAATATTTAAAAACTTACTTTAAGAAGACGGACTTCTGCTCCCGATGGCGGTAGATAAATTTTGTCTTCTAACACAAAAAAAAAAAAAAAAAAAAACATGACTAAAAAATTATACAAAAATTCAAAAAATATAATTAATAAAAATTTTGTCTTCTATCATAAAAAAACAGGGCTAAAAAATTATACGAAAATTCAAAAAAATATAATTAATAAAAATGAATATGAATCAAATAATAGGAAAATATAAGAATTTAAAAAAATTAAAAATTAAATTAAAAAGAAAAAAGAACAACATCATGTAAAATTTATTGAAAAAAACTTAAATTTATTCAAAAATTTACTTCAAGAAGACGGACTTCTACTCCTGCTCCTGGTGATAATCTTTTCCGGTAGAAAAATTTTATCTTCTACCAAAAACAATAAATAAATAATATGGCTAAAAAATTATACAAAAATAAAATAAATAAATTAATAAAAATAAATATGAATCAAATAATAAGAAAATATAAGAACTTGAAAGTAAAAGTTTATATTGCTTCTGCCATAAATTAAATTTAAAAAAAAAAAGAACATCATGTAAAACTTGCCTGAAGAAATCTTTTCTCTGGTAGCAATCTCTACTAGAAAATGAAGTTTTAGATCTTACTTCACTGTAAAAAAACTACTATTGAAAAACTAATTCACTTAAAAATAAACTTCCAAAATGTATCTTTATTATTATATAAAAAACTGTAAAAAAAAAAAAAAACAAATTAAAAAAAAAATCTCAAAATTTTGAGACTGCAGGATTGCAGAATTTTAAAGAAATATGGGGTCCACCTTGAGCTCTTATATATATATATATAAGACAAGTACACTTATATCATAAAAATAACATTAGATCTTTGTAATTGATGGTATGGTGGTGTGGGATTGATTTGTTAGCTTCGTTTAGTTTTTCTATTTTTTGTAATATTTTTGTCAAGTACTGTCTTATTTTTTATTGAATTTTTGTTGCTAATTTTTTTTAAAAAGAACTTCATTTGGATTTTTTTTTTTTAATTCAAAGTCAAATTTATTCAAGTCTTGAATTTAATTTTTTTTTATATTTCCTCAGTCTTATTTTTTTCTAGCTAAAATAGATTTATGTTTAGTTAAAATAACTGTTTTTATTAGGAATTTAATTGTGTGCTAAATTCTTTTCAAATCTTTAAGAATATTGTGTATAATCAGCATGTATTTTCTCAAAAAAAAAATTATTTTACCTAATCTTATTTGTGTTGCAGGTTAGTTGAATCCAATTTAATTGAACACATTGGTTGTTCACTTTATTTTTCACAAGTGTGTGAAAAATTTAAGATTGATAAAAAGGGTAAACCATGTTACTTTATTTTCCGCTGGGACAGTCACTAGAGTGTGGTCTATTGTTTGTTGTTCTGTTTTTTAATTGTGTTTGAAAAATCATTTATTATGGCTTATTATTTTCTTTTGTGAAAATATTTTAAAATCGTTGGGTGATGTTTAATAATTTGTCTCCATGTGCAGTAAATTAAAAATCTTATGTGTTTGTTATGTGAATTATGTGCTCTATGGTGGTTTCTTTGTATTTTTTTTCTTGTGCGACAGTTATTCTTTCCATTTTTAATGATAAAATCTTTTCTAAAAACTTTATGAAAGCATGGAAACTTTTTTTTCTTAAATTTAATACAATTTAATGGTCAATCAGATTTTACAATATGAAAATAGAAAATGAAATGAATTTTGATAACTCAAAAACTTTTTAGAATTGTAGATGTAAATTATGAGGCTTTTGCAACCGAAGAGAAAATTGTTGAAGTAGATAAAATGACTTACTTGTGTATAATTCTTAGTTTTTCTGATTCGGTAAGGTTAAAACTACAAAAGAGTTATGGATAAATTAGAAAAATTATATGTTGAAACTTCTTTATCATATAAGTTTTATTTACTTGAAAGTTTTTTCAATTTTAAACTTTATTTGCATAAAAGTATTGAGGAAAATTTGGATGTTTTTCAAAAGCTTATTCAAGGCATAAAACTCACTAGTAATACTACTATTGACATCTAGGGTTTGTTCCTTTGGTATTTGTTCGAAAAATTTTGGTTTGGATTTCAATTTTTTTATAGGTTTGAGAAGTTGTGTTTATTTGGGTTAGCATGTTTCATTTTAGTTTTTTAGTTATAATAAATATTAATGTAATAGATAATAATTATGTTAAATTAAAGAAATTGTAATTTTATTAATAACAATATTTTATTTGATAATAAATTATATTTTAATTACAAATATATTATAAAATGTAAAATAAAAAATATTTTCACCGCATCTCCGTCCTTCATTCTCTCTTCTCATTTTTCATCTTTTTTCTTTATCTACTTCTTATTTCGTAAATGTATTTACTTCTTCTTCTCTAATGGTGTTTACAACAACATCCGTCTGATCTATTTTCTCCTCCTCCTCATTTTTTTTTTATTTTTTTCTTCTTCTTATCTAAATTTGTCTATTTTTCTCCTCTTTCTTCTTCCTTCGTTCCTCTTTCTTCTTCCTTCGTATTCATGTCTTTCATCATCTTCTTCTTCATTCTTCTCTAAATTTTTTTACAGTAATCGTTCACTATTTTTTTTTCTTGTTTTTGTCTTTCTTTTTTCCGGTCTTTCTTCTTGCATCCTTTTCTTTCTTTCTAGAATTTATTTACACAACCGTCCATTATTGTTTTCCTATTTGTCTTCATTGATGTCACAACCTATTCTGCAAAAAGAAAATGCTAGCAACAGACATTGTCGGGTGTATAGGAATTTTGCAGGAATTTTTCACCCAACAGTGTTTCCACAGTGAAGTTTCGGAAACCATTGCCAAAGACACACGCCAATATAATCCAATTGTTTTACTAAATATCATCCATAACAATTATTATGTTGTTAAATATGAAATTACGTATAAACGAGATAATATAACATTGAATGCTGTTGTGAATAGTCTAAAAAGTAAAAAATTAAACTTAGCTATTAATAAATCTTATAAGTCTTCGGATGAAGTTATGTATACTAGGGTAGATCACCTCATAAAAAAAGTTGTGCAAATCAAAGTAACAATAGTAATCCTCAAAATGATAAAAATAAGAAGAAAAAACAACGAAAGATCTAGATTTAAGTCTAGAAATCAAAATATGAGATGTTTTGCATGTGGTGAAAAATGTCATTATATAAAACAATGTAAAAGGACGCCAATTGCAAGTGATAACAATAGTGGAGGCCGGTCCCAAGAATATATAAGTCATTATCTCAAGAAATCAATTTTATTTTATTTTTTTTTTTATGATGTTTATATGATAAAATCTGAATGTTCTTATGTGAACATTATTTGCAAAAATGATTGGTTAATTAAGTCGGAATGCACTTATCATATGACACCCCTAAAAGATATTTTTTCAAATTATAAAATATTGAATAACAACACTATTTCTATGGAAAAATAATAGGATTTGCAAAGTTGAGAGCATAAGAATCATTAGATTGAAATTCGGTTCGGATTTTGTGTTAACTTTGAACAATTTGAGACATGTGCATGATTTGTATAATAATTTGCTCTCTTGTAGTGTGTTAGAAGATATAAGACTTGAGACAAAATAGGGTAATGGTGTAATGGAAGTTTTTAAAGGTTCTATGGTTGTGTTTAAAGTTGAAAGGAAAAAAAACTTATATGTTACCAGTGGCGGATCTAGAATTTTGAATTCGGTGGGTCGATAATTAATATAATTAATTTAAATTTAAAATAATAAATTTCATCAAAAGAAATTTATATTAAAAAGTATGAAATTTCAAATTAACAATCACTAATACATCAAAATAGCTACAACTGTTCACGACGAGATCTCATATTTTGGTATCGATTGACAATATCATTGATACTAACTTTCGTAAACACACCTCTTTCTAGAAAAGTAACTAAACAATCATTCAATAATTGATCTCCCATGCTATTCCGTAATTTGTTCTTGATGGTAGTCATCGCTGAAAAGGATCTTTCCACGGTTGCAGTTGCTACAGGAAGAAGCAATACTAATTTCAATAGCAAGTAGACCCTTGAATGTGTTTCATTCTTCTTTGTTTCAACAAGTTTCATAGAAAGTTCATTTAGATCCTTCAAATCCCAAAATCTCTCATCACATCGAATATCAGTAATGAAATTACCCAATGAATATTCAAAAACCATCAATTCTGCTTCTGAAAATTCTGTAGGATAAAATTCTGCAAGCCGTCGCAAACTTTTTTTTTTTTTTATCAAAAGCAGAAAACCGATTAGAATGAAGAAAGCAAGACATACACATAAATAATTCTTTGTTTACCTTATTGAATCGATTTTCAAGTTCTTGCAATTGTAGATCAATTACACTCAAGAATACTTCAACTCGAAAATGATGAAGATTTGTCATTTGTGGAGACTTATTTCCACGATAACACCTCCTCCCCATAATAACATATTTTCCCTTCATATCAAGAATCTCCACTTCATGCTTAACCATAAATGATGCAACTTTTTCCATGAAATCGTCCCATCCATTCTCTCTCAAATCTTGAAGATTTTTCTTAGTTACATCAACCATGGACATTGCATTTACAATGTCTTGTTCTTTTTCCTGCAAGGCCAAATTTAGTTTATTTGTAATTCCAAATATTGACAACATCAAGTGTGCTACGAAACTGAAATCAAACGACAACATTAAGTGTGTAAGTGACTCAGCTTTATTCTTGTCTTTCATATCAGAAACTTCTCCAATGGCATCAAGTGATTCAAGAATCGAAGGAAATAAATGAATCACATTTAAAATTGTTTTGAAATGTGATCCCCAACGAGTATCTCCAGGCCTACTTAATCCAAGCTCTTGATTTAAACCTGTTCCAGATTCGATTTCCCCCAAAGACAATGCTTGCACGACAATTTCAGCTTGTTTTTCTCGAAGAATTTCTTTTCTTTTGGGTGAACCTCCAACAAAATTCAACAAAGGTACAAGAACATCATTAAATAACCAACTAAGATCTCTATTCTTTTGAGCAACAGCAGCAAGAGTAAATTGAAGTTGATGAGCAAAACAATAGACATAATAAACACTTGAAGATTCTTTCAAAATTAAAGTCTGCAAACCATTAATTGACCCTCGCATGTTACTAGCACCATCATATCCTTGGCCTCGAACACTAGATAGACTTAAAGAGTGTTCCATTAGCAGTGACTCTATTGCATCCTTTAGAGTAAAAAAAGTAGTATTACCGACATGCACAATACCAAGAAATCTCTCCTTTACTTATTCTCTTTTATCAACATATCGCAAGCAAAGAGCCATTTGCTCCTTATTAGCAATGTCTGCAGACTCATCAACAAGAATCGAAAAGAAACCACCGTCAAGTTCCTCAATAATCGCTTTAGTTGTCTCTTTTGCACAAGCATTAATTATATCCTTTTGAATTGAAGGACCAATCAATTGACAATTTCCAGGAGCATTTTTCAAAACCACTTTCTGGTAATCAGAATTATGCACAGAAAGTAGATGCAAAAGTTCTAAAAAATTACCTTTATTCAATGATCTTTCACTCTCATCATGACCACGAAAAGCCAATCCTTGAAGCAAATGCCATTTCAAGCATTCAATTGAAGCTTCTAACCGCAAACGATAAGCACTCGCTGATTGTTCAGATTGCTTAGACAAAACAGATACAACCGAAGATTTTTGGTTCTTGAAATCATATAATCTTCCCAATGCTTGATTGTGAGCACTCTTAATTCCACACACATGCTTAGAAAATGCTTCACTTCTATTCCAAGTTCTAAAACCCGTACCAACAAAAGCATCTCCACCAGTTGAGTTATCATCCTTGAATAAGTAACACACAAAACAAAAGGTTGCATCCTTTTCAACACTATACTCAAGCCAAGATTTGTATTTCTCAAACCATCTAAGGAGAAAGCGACGGTTGTTGCCCGAAAATACAGTTTGAGGAAACAAGTGATTTTTAGGTTGACAAGGTTATCTTTGAATATATGCTCTTCTAATCATATCTCTATCATCCGGATGAAAATCAACAATTTTTCTTCTTTTTCTCGGATCATGTGGAAGATCATAAACATCACATTGATTCAATCTTACTTGATGCCTCGGATTTGAATTAACTTTGATGCATTGTTCATCTTGATTTTGAATGTGTTCATGCTTATCAGATGAAAAATCATTTAAAGGAGAAGATGTTGGAGAACTTACTTCAAATGGCTCTTCTGTGTCTCTGTTTTGGTGAACTTTTTTACAAAAAAAAGTTGAAATTTGACTTTGATTGATCCTCTTCATTTCGAAACTCTAAAATTCGAATTAATAAAATAAAAAAATAAATCAGCAAACAACATCACAATAATATCACAAACACAAAGGCATAAAATTATTGATAATATAATACAAATTGTATTGAATGATAAATTCTAAAAAAATCCACAAACTATAATAAACTCTAAAAAAATATGATACAAAAAATTCAATATACCATAAAAAAAAAACCCTAATAGACAACGGACATCAACCAAATTACCTCCAATTCATTCTAAAATAATAAATAAAATTAATTACCTGTCGAAGGTATTGGTGTAAATTATAATGCAAAGAAGATTTTTCAAAAACAAAATAGGGGAAGAGCCGAAGAGCAGATAAAATTAAATCTGCGTTTGTGAAATTGGGCGAATCCTGACGGTAGAATAAAAGAGGAAGAAGATGAAAAATAAATATAAAAATAATAAATTAAATTAGGATAAATATGTAATTTTAGTGATAATTGAGTATTATTTTTATTTTTATTTTGATAGATAGGTAGAAACAACGCCATTGATTTTTAATATAAACATAAAATTAATAAATTAATTTAATACTATAATTGTAATTTTATTAATAATTAGAATTATTTTTAATTTTTTTTGGTGGGTCAATTGACCCACCTTGCCTCATACTCCATCCGCCACTGTATGTTACTAAGGTGGAGTAAGTTATATATGTTGAAAATGCTTCTAATTCCGTATGTGATGACAAAACAATCTTATGGCATAAAAGACTAGGTCAGTAGCAAAAGTTTAGAAATCTTAAGAAAAAATTGTTGTTTTGGTAAAGATAATGTGTCATCTATACCTTTCTGTAATGATTGTGTGTTTAATAAACAACATAGAGTTCAATTTCAAAACACCTCATCCCTTAATGTGCCTAAATCTTCTAAATTTTTTGAATATGTTCATGCCGATGTGTGGGGTCCTTTTAGTGAACCCTCCCAGGGTGAAAATAAAATATTTTGTCCATAATTAATTATTTTTCAAGAAAAGTATGGGTTTTTATTATGAAAAAAAAAATGGATGTGTTAAATGTTTTTAAAAATAAAAAAGTTTTCATAGAAAAAAAAACCGGGCATAAAATAAAATACTTAAGAACTTGTAATTTGTAACACCCCCAGTTGGCTCATACTGGAAATGCTACCGCCACACTGCATCATGAGGTCGTCACCTCCTACTTCGGGCCCCACAACACAGTGTTAAGGCTAAAATTAATTATATAAGCATTTTATTATTCCCAAAAAAACAAGTTTATAAATATTTACAAAAACATACTCCCAAAACGGGAGGTTTTTCTAGTTAGAATTTACATATAATACATCAGATGCAGTTCACTCATTCAGCCCGTCTTTCTATCTCCCGAGACGTCCCCTGTCCCGGAGGTGCCATGCGTACCTGAATCAAATATTTTTCTTAAAAGCAGTCTAGAATTAAATCCATTTTAAGAACTAACATAAAATATGCCATGTCATGCTCGAAAATAGAGTTTAATTTCCGTCATTTGCAAAATAAATGCCATGCCATGCCCATACTGAAATAATGTAACAATAATGTCAAAATCGACAACTCATGCACATATACCCATATACATATGTCAAAGTGAGCAGCCGGAATAACCTCGGCTCCATAATAACGGCTCACTAGACTATCATCAATAAATAGCCGGAAAATCCTCGGCTCAAGGAAGGACCTGGTAAACCCATAATAATATAACGGTCACCCGGTCACTCCCATATACCCACCATACGACTCCCGCAATCAATACATGGATAGTCGAACGTTGTCGCCATTAACCACAAGACACCCCATAGTCTGTGATAGCGAAGATAGGACCCTCCTGCCTAGCCCTACCCCGTGTAACGTAGTAGAATCCGTGCAACCTGGAATCACCCGAAGGAAACCCGGAAACTCTACTCCTCCTCGCACGCCCTAACGGGATCGCGTTTGGAGTTTGGCATCTGATCCTAAACTACCGGTAGACCTCACTAGTAGCTACTCCAATGAGTGGAACAACACCGAACCCGAATGATTAGACCAAATACGTCTCAACTGCAATGGGTCTAATCCCTGAATGACCGTGCGACTAAGTCACCCAGTTGTCCGACTACTATCGTCCACTATCGCCAAAGTGTTACGGTACATCGGGGTCGAATATCCTAACCCCAGATGATGCCCTCGCCTAGCACTACCGCACACGGCGACTAAACGATAGATCCATAAAACATATCCGATAAATCGTGCAATGTGTGCAGCATGTCAATAAGTGAATTTAATGAAAAGGGCTGGTGAGACGGCCCACCTATCCTCCTTTTTATAAATTCACCAACACGATCAAATACGTATATCAAATATCGTAAAACGAAGTTTCACACATGCATATACACACGCATATATACATATATAGATGCACTGACCAAATGATTCCACATAATATCATATCAATATCAGAATCAGAATCACATGCAACATAAATACCTAATTTCTTAAAATTAGATTTAATTCCCTACTGCTTACCTCCTACCGATACTTTCTGGATTTTATAACTTCACCCAAATCTCCTCCAACGTACACCTGTCCCATTATTTACTCAAATCAGATGAGCTTTATGCTTATTCTCAGGAGCTACCTGCTTATTCAAAAGCTAATTTCTATAATTAACTCGTCGGGCTCCAAACTTTTATATTTAGTAGAATATGATATTCTAGCTATAAAATCCTTCTACCTCATAATATTTATATTGCCCGATTATTAAATAAAAATACGCAAAGGTATGAACAAGCAGGCAGGTGCGATATACTGCCCTTTTTTTTTCGACTTGGATTGGTACGAAATTCTCAAAATATAATGTCGGCGCTACGAATAGGCTATTAGCTAAAGAAATTCATCGATTAAATAGCTAAATAGCCAATTTTGAATTTTTGAAGAATTTCTAATTTAATACTCCAATATCAAAATTCGTATTAAAATTTATAATCGGACTCTACGAATAGCAAGGAATACCATACCCAAGTCGGAATTGGAATCGGACGGCTAAATCTTTTTCTTTCTTTCTCCTTCTTCTTCCTCCCTTCACGTTTCTTCCTCTGCCTTCCTTCGCTTCGCAGGTAAGTTTGCTTGTTTTATATATATAATTATATTATTATTATATATATATATATTATATACATTATATTACATTATATTATATTATATTATATTATTATTATTAGCGTTATTATTATTATTATTATTATAAATATTATCTTCATCATCATTACTTTTATTATTATATTATTATTATATATTTTATATTTATATTTATCGATATTTATCCATTTAACAGTCTATTTAATTATAACTAATATACAAAATTGGAATATAATTTATCCCAAAATATTAATTTCTTGATTCCATTACTATTGTCAAATATTTATTTGCTATAATAATATTATTTTATACATTCCGAAATCGGGGCATTACATAATTGACTAAAATTTTGTAACCAATGGATGAATTATGTGTGTTTAATCTAACATAACTAGACATAAAACTGTCCTTTATTCATCCTACAAAATAGGGTGACTGAAAGGGTGAATTGAACTCTCCTTTAGAGAGTGAGAAGCAGGTTAGCCTTATCGGATTTATCCAAAAAGTTTTGGGGAGAATCTGTTACTACAACACACATAATAAATAGATTCCCTTCTAGAGCCTTAGAAGACAAATTTCCAAAAATTGTTTGGCTAGACAAACCTGTTGATTTATCACATTTAATGGTTTTTTGTCGTGTTACATTCACTTTTATAAAATCTGATAAACTTGAACATAGAGCTCAAAAATGTATCTAAGGTGTAAAAAATTACATATTATGGTGTTAAAATTATCCAGGTTTTAATGTTGTAATTAGTTGTGATGTGACTTTTAATAAACATGATATGTCATGTTTAAATAAAACCACTACGGATTTTGAAAATAACCCAAATAAGATGGAGTCCAATAAAAATTTTGAACCAAGTTGTTCAAATCTGTGTGAATCTAGTGCTAGTTTATGTATTAATGAAAGACCAAGAAGAAATATTAAACTCCGTCTAGATTTGATGATTATAACTTAATGTCATATGCATTTAGTTTGTTTGATTCTCTTGTGACAATGAATATAAAACCTTTTGTGAACTTGGATGGGAACATAAAAGTGAATGGTTTCAAACAATGCAAGATGAAATAAATTTTTTGAAAGTGAATAAAACTTGAGAATTAGTTCCAAAGCCCGGACATTTTTCTATCATTGATTGCAAGTGGTTGTTTAAGGTTCAAAATTAGGATGAACAAAATGTTAGGTTCAAAGCAATAGTAGTAGCAAAAAGTTTTACACAAAAAGAAGACATTTATTATAATGAAATATTTTCTCTTGTAAAATTTTTTACTATTTGTGTTATGCTTGCTTTAGTAACTCATTTTGATTGAAAACTTAAACAACTTGATGTGAAAAAAAATATATTTTTACATAATGATTTGGATGAACATATCTATATGAAACAACCCGAGGGCTTTGTAGATAAAACGGGCCTGATTTTGTGTGTTTTCTTAAAAAAATTCTTTATGGTTTGAAACAATCTCCGAGGCAATGGAATGTAAAGTTTGATGAGTGCATAAAACTTTATATTTTAAAAGAAATGAATATGATCATTGCTTGTATTTTAAGTGTATTGGGAGCATACATGTATTTATTTCGATCTATTTTGATGATATATTGTTGATTAATCCAAATTTGAAAATTATAGATCAAATTAACAAGTATTTAAATGATCATTTTGATATGAAATTTCTTGATGCACAAGTAAATTTAAGAATACATATTAAAAAATTTAGACAAAACAAAATTCTATTTTTAGGTCAGCTTTTCTATATTGATAAAATTCTGAAAAAGTTTAATATGTTCAATTATAAAGTTGTTAATGTGTCACATACTTCTCACTTTTGTTTGAGTAAAAATAAATCGATTGTGATATTGCATACATGAAGAATGTATTATATTTGAATGTAATAGATTTTTTTATGTATCTCATAGTTAGTACTAAGTCTGATATTACATATTAGTTGTTTGAGTAGATATATGTGTAATCCGGGGCTGGAATATTATATTGTTTTAAAATGGTTGTTGCATTATTTGTGGGTCAAATAATTTGGGATTAGTATATAAACAATGTGATAAAAGTGTTATTTTAAAAGACTATATAGATTTTAACTATGCTAGTGATAGAGATAGTAGAAAGTTTACTATTTCTTATATGTTTACATTGTGTGGTTCTTGTGGGTTGGAAGTCACAGTTGCAACATATAGTCGCACTATAAATATATTGTTGTTACAGAAGCAATTAAAGAAGACTTATGGTTTAAAGGTTTACTGACAGAAATTTGGATTTGAAATGTGAGGTACAAGTTTTTTTAGATAGTCAAACAGGTATTCAGTTGTGCAAAAATTCAATTTTTCACGATAGAACCAAACATATTGATGTTAGATTATATTTCATTTGTGATATTGTTGCTAAAGGTCTTATAAAACTTGAAAAAAAATTCATTCAAAATTCAATCCGGCTTATATGGGCATTAAGCCTTTACCTATTTCGAAATTTGAATCATGTTTAAATATCTTTAATTTTGATACTTTTGATTAGTTTGTCAATGTAGTTGCATACAAGTGTGGTTGAGTATAGTTGTGGTTGTGAGTTGTGTCCTTATGCGTTAATCTCAACCAAAATTGTGGAGAGATGTTGAGTTTTTGGTGACCCGCAACCTACACCCGGTGTGCATACCCGACCTAGTGACCTAATTTACTCTAGACGCGATCTGATCTATTCATTCTAGGATTGTAATCCTATATGTCCATTCATTCATATATATATATATATATGTCCATTCATTAATATATATATGATAATATGTGTATTTGTATGTGTTGCCCTTTATTCTAAGATATGCGCAACTACTACCAATTTGTATTTTTTCTCTTTGAATCACGTTTTTCTTCTCTTTTTGTTGTGTGTTCAACGTTGAGATTTCTAGTGGGTTTATGAGTTTTCAAGAGGCGATTCTCATATGGGATATTTGAGGAGTGATTTGTGAGTTTTCTACAGTGTGATTTATCTATTTCGAGTTGTTTCACTTTGAGGGATTAAGATTCAATTTTTTGAGTGGGAGATAGGTGTCGTTGGGGGGTGCCGTTAAACGGCGCCGGAGTTCAATCGTCTTTGTTCTTGCCTTCTTTTGTTAATAAGAGTTGACATTATAGATCCGAGCCACACGTCGATGTTCTTTGTTAGTGTTTGTTTATTGTTATTGTGATTCGATTTTCTATTAAATAAAATTTTTATTTAATTTATTTTTCAAGTATTTTTTATCGTCAATTTCGATCCAAAACTTACATACATAAAAACTGAAATCAAAATTAACAAATCCAATAAAAATATTAAAAACATTTTTAAACATAAAATCATTTTTATTTGATTAAAGCAAAATAAAAAAGGGAAAACAAATAATATTTTCTTTATTCAATTAAAAAAACATATTTTACTATTTTTGTCAATCAAATACAAAGTACACATTTTTTGAAAGGGTCATGCTAAATGGTCAAAATCTGTATAAAGTAGAACTCATAAAACTAATAATTAATATTAGAAAATCACTTTTATACCCTTGATAACTTTGATTTGATTTTTAATAAAATTAAATATGCATCAATTCTTTTTATGCATATGAATTTTAATTTTATTGATATTATAAAAAAATTTAAATTTGTGTGTTAATAAATATATTAACAATTACTGATATGTTTTTTTTTATTATTGAAATTAAAATGCATATAGATATTTGTTTGTTTAGTATTTTGTTTGATTTTGTTTTGTGTGTGAAGTATAAACAATTATGTCAGTAATATAAAAAAAATATAAAAAAATAATATATATATTGAGAATAATATATGAAAAAAATATTGGCAAATAAATCCCTAAATTTTATTTAGTTTTGACAATGAATACTAAAATAATTTTAAATGATTTTAATTAAGAAATCATCTTATTTAATTCTATCCACATATATATAAACATTTTGTGTGTTTGTTGCTATGCATTTCCATATATGTTTGGCCGTATTACGAAACAGTTATGTTACTAATGAGCACGTACTTGACAATACAAATTTGTTGTAATAATTTTAAATGATTTTATTAAATCATCTTATTTAATTTTATCCACACATCTATTGATGTTAAGTTCTATTTCATTTGTGATAATATTGTCGCTAACGACCTTATAAAACTTAAAATTCATTCAAAATTCAATTCGGTTGATATGAACATTAAGCCTTCTCCTATTTCAAAATCCGAGTATGTTTTTTATTGATTTGTGAAGATAGTTGCTTACAATTGTGATTGAGTATGTAGTTGTGATGATAGTTGTGTCATTCTGCGTGAATCTTGACAAAAGAAGTGGTGGTGGAGAGATGTTGAGTTTTGGGCGACCCGCAACCCACACACGGTGCATACCCGACCTGGTGACCCAATTTATCCTAGATGCGATCAGATATGTTCATTTTAAAGTTGTAATCCTATATGTCCATTTATTTATATATATATATATGATATATATATGTGTGTGCCTGCTCTTCATTCTGAGATATGCGCAGTCACTACCAGATCTTATTTTCTCTCTTTAATCACGTTTTCTCTTCTCCATTTGCTATATGTTCAACATTGAGATTTCCAATGGATTTATGAGTTTTCGAGAGACAATTCTCCTGTGGGATATTTGGGGAATGATTAATGAGCTCTCTGTGATGTGATTTTCTCTATTTTGAATTGTTTTACTTCAAGATATTAGAGTTCAATTTTTTGAGAAGGAGATAAGTGTCGTTGAGGGTGCCGTTAGATGGCTCCAGAGTTCAATCATCCATGTTCTTGCCTTATTTTGTTAATAAGGGTTGGCATTATAGATTTGAGCCACACGTCGATGTTCTTTGTTAGTATTTGTTTATATTGTGTTATTCTTTGATTTTCTATTAAATAGAATTTTTGTTTAGTTTACTTTTCAAGTGTTTTTCATCGTGGATTTCGATTCTGTTACGCACAAAAAATAATAATAATAGTAAGTGGCAGTAGGATTCTGGGTAGGGTCTGACTGAAAGCCAAAAGGTCTGGAGGTCGGGCAGAATAAAGGTCGGGAAAAGGAAGAAAGGTCGGGCGGAGTCTAAAAAAAAGGGTGTACCCAAGTCGGGTAAACCGTAGATCGGATGGAAGGCGAAGTCGGGCAGACGCGGAGGTCTGTCAAGAGGAAGGTCGGGCAGACGCGGAGGTCTGTCAAGAGGAAGGTCGGGCAAGGAAGAGGTACGGACAGACGCGGAGGTCTTCGGTCAAAGACGGAGGGCGGCTGATGCGGAGGTCGGCCAAGTGTCAAAAACGGAGGGCGGCTGATGCGGAGGTCGGCCAAGTGTCAAAGACGGAGGGCGGCTGATGCGGAGGTCGGCCAAGGGAGGTCGGGCGAAGAAGCAGGTCGGGCGAAGGACGAAGTCGGGCAAAAGAAAGTTGGCAGTGGACAGGCAGGTCGGGTAAGAGGCAGGTCTGAGTTCTGTGACTGGTGGGAACGGTTGAAGGAAGTTGTAATACGTGTCAATAGAGGAGAAATTGGTGGTCGGTTGACAGCGGTTGCTGTAACCGACCAGACGGCGGTTCAAACCGTTTTCTCTGAAAGGCTATTTAAAGGATTCAAATCCGTCAGAAAAGGTATCTTCAATCAACTTCAACAAAGCAAAGTCAGATTTGGGGATCACCACTTTAAATTTCAGTCTTTTATTTTCCAGTTTATTTTCTGTACCGTACCGTGTTTAGAGATTCCTAATCTCAGGCACTAATTAATCAAGTTTAAGGATATTTTCTATATCTTTGAATTTTACTTTATTTTTGTTGAAAAATTACATCAACAGATTCAAAAACTTATATAAACAAAATCTGAAATCAAAATCAAACAATTCAATTATAAATATTAGAAACAATTTTAAACATAAAATTATTTTTATTTGGTTAAAGCAAAATAAAAAAGAAAAAACAATATTTTCTTTATCCAATTAAAAAATATATTTTACCATTTTTGTCAATAATCAAATAAGTATACATTTATTTAAAATGTCATGCGAAATAGTCAGAATCTGTCAGGTGCAGAATACATAAAATTAATAATTAATATTAGAAAATTAGTTTTATACCCTTAATAAATTTTGAATTGATTTTTAATAAAATTAAATATGCATTAATTCTTTCTATGTATTTGAATTTAAATTTTATTGATATTATAAAAAAATTAATTTGTATGTTAATAAATATGCTAACAATTAATGGTGTGTTAGTTATTGAAATTAAAATGTAAAATAAATTAAATTAAATAAATTTACGAGAAAAGATATAAAATACGGATATAATAATAACAATAATAGTGATGATGATGAGGGTCTCAATCAGTTGTATGAGTTGTTTTTCGTTAATCTAAATTATTAATATAAATAGAGGGAATAGTGCTGATAAGGCAGTGGTTGAGCCATTTTACCTACTTCTTGCTTTCTTTCTCCGTTTGGGTTTCTCAGGTGAGCCATCTCGACTACCCGCACCCTTCTACACGCTCAATCCCCATTGCTACTCAATTTTGTTAATCGTTTCTGCTTTTTCGATTTCCTCATCACTGGATTTTTGTTTGTTGATTATTCTGTGTGGAGTTTTACTTTGAGTTTGTTTAATCTTGAATTTTGGGGTTTGGATTGGTTGGTCTGGTCAATTCATAATCGGAGGGTTTAGAATCGAACTGACAAGGATTTTGGGGGCTTTAATTCGTACCGGATGTGATTGTTGGCGGAAGTAGGGTTTTTCTTCGCTGATCATGCTATGCGCCTTTTCATCTTCAGAACCCGTTTCTGTTTTTTTTTCTTTCTTTCCCTTATCCTTTACTGATATTTGTTTGTGCAAATCATCCATTGGAGATGATAAAGTATAGTTGTGGATGTATGCCTCTGCTGATTGTGTGATGGTTTCATATTCCGTTCTTCTTTCTTTTGTGAAAATGATAAAATGGAACATTGCTGGTTCATCTCTTTCTAACCATTGGTTTGTTGTTTTTGCAGTTTAGGTTTCAGAGTATTTTAATTATTTCATACTCTGGAAGTTAGTGTTGAATAGAGTAGATAAATGGGATCGGAAGGGCCATCGCCTGCAGTTACTATTCATGTAACTGGATTCAAGAAATTTCATGGAGTTGCTGAGAATCCTACAGAGATAATTGTCAATAATCTCCAAGAGTATATGAACAAAAGGGGTCTACCCAAAGGGCTGATCCTTGGTAGTTGCACGGTTCTTGAAACTGCAGGTCAGGGAGCTATTGTTTCCTTATACCACACTCTGCAGTCTTCCATGATCAAAGACAGTGCTGCTTCGAATTCTGGAGCTGTTATCTGGGTCAGTCCTTCCCTTGGAAGCTCTTAATTCTCACTTCAAAATGTTTTCCTTGAATTGATGGGATTGTTTTGATTCTCTCTCTTGCTTGGGTTTGACTGTCCATGGTTTTAGTAGTAATGTTATTCTTGCTTGTGGCCTCAGGAGCGACAGTGTCGGGTTTGGGATTGACACTTGACTTTGGTTGTCTGTGTAGAAGTGTTTAATTTCATTATTAATAAGAATTGTGGAAAAACGGATAGTGCTTGTGGTGGTTCTGCAAATTTGTTATCGAAATGATTTAGTCAGAGCATTGAACATGGATTAAACAACTAAGTGAACTACTATTGGACGAGGAATCTTTTTGTTAGATATATATATGCATAATGGCATGATCAAGTTAGAATCTAGCCATCGCAGTATAGAAGTAGTTTGATTTTTCAATTTCAAACAGATTGCCAAAGTTATGAGGTTTTACTTATTTTGTTTCTGAAATTTGATTCTCCTAACACACTCACTGCTTTGTAATAATTATCCTCACTTACTGTTGCTGGCTTATGTTTTCCTTCTGTTACCGATGGATTCTTTTCAGGTGCATTTCGGGGTCAACAGTGGAGCAACGAGATTTGCCTTAGAGCGACAGGCTATCAATGAGGCTACATTCCGCTGTCCTGATGAAATGGGGTGGAAGCCACAGGTTAGAGTGATCATGATGGTTCCTCGAAATCTTATTTCCAGTTGTGAGTTTTGAAGAGTTTGATATACTGCCGTTTGATTCTGTTTGTTGCAGAAAGTTTCCATCGTTCCAGCAGATGGTGGGTGTTCTAGATTGAGGGAGGTACGACTTTAATTTATGTATCTATCACTTTTGTTTAGTGTTCATCTCTCTTACAAACTTCACTTGAGTTAAAAAAAGGCTTTCTTTCTTCTTAATGAGCTCTCAAATGCATTAGCACTAAAAGAATGTCGGCTAATTAAGTAGGCATATGGTTAATGGCTGTGAAAATCTGAAATGGATATGATAGTTGTAGCATTTGCTTGGATTGATGATATCAAAGTACAAAGTAAATAAAAGGAATGATTTCGAACCCAAAACCCTTCAACATGAAAGCTTGTTGAAATTAACTAAGAATCTTAATACTTATGTATTGCGCTTGCTTGAAATTATCTATGAATCTTAATCCTTTCGTATTGCGCTTGCTTGAAATTTGATGCGTGCAGACTGTCCTTCCCATCGAGGATATTACCAAGTCACTGGCTAAAATGGGCTATGAAGTGATGACCTCAGACGATGCTGGTCGTTTTGTTTGCAACTATGTGTACTACCACTCGCTGCGCTTTGCAGAGCTAAACGGAATGAAATCGCTATTTGTACACGTTCCCCTGTTCTTGACTATAGACGAGGACACACAGATGCAGTTTGCGGCTTCCCTATTGGAGGTACTCGCCTCTTTACATTAGTTGTGGAATGAAATGTCGTTTCCTCCTGAAAAATGTTTATTTCAGATAACTGTGTTTATGTCTGGTTTGGGTCGGGTCTGGTCGGGTCAATGTATGCTGTGCTGTGCTGTTGAATGGGCCGACGATGATGATGATAATTATTACTGCTGCGTTGCGTTGCTTTGCTGCAGAGCCTTTCCAAACATATATAACTTGTGATTTGGATTGTGTATGAATGATAATAATATGATGTTTGCAAGATTTAATTGATCTACTTCCTATTCTTTTCCAAGAGAAGATGCTCCTTTGCTTTTTTTTTTTTTTTTATTATTATTATTATTATTATTATTTTTTATAACGTGATCTACTTCCTATTCTTTTCCAAGAGAAGATGCTCCTTTGCTTTTTTTTTTTTTTTTTTATTATTATTATTATTATTATTATTTTTTATAACGTGAGAATTTCGCTCGTGATAGTTTTGATAAGTTAAGTGACCCTTTTTATTTAAGGGACACTTTTTATTTATTTATTTATTTTTTGATACACACCTTTATTAATTCACTCAAAGGTGTGGATGGATCTCATAAATAAAGTTGAAAACAAGATGGACTGATGTATGTATAAAAACATGTGCTAATTAATAGGAATGTTTTTTGTTTTTTTTTGGTTAAAATTTAAAAATAATATTCCTTCCATTGTTATTAGATTTATTCCTTTTTCTTTAGAGGTATGTTAAATTAATCCTGTTATTAATTTTGATGAAGTTAAAAAGTTAAATATTTAATTATTATCAAATGTTAAACAATTATTTATTATAATTGTAGTTATTTTTATAACATTATCTTTTTATTCCTTTTAACCACTAATTGAAAATTTAAAAATATTCTCAATTATTTTTTTCTTGCCTTTTTTTCTAAAATATTTATTTTATTTATTTATTTTCACGACGGAGTTTTTTCTTGTATTCAACAGGTCCTGAATAGCCAAAATTTAAGTATTTTTAATTAATACACTTAAATAATATAATTAATTCAAAGCTTTTCGGCCAAATGCTGAAAAAAATTCATCAGCACCTGATCTTGGGCCTTTTAATTTAATGTAATAGTATTGACTTAAATAAAGATAGGTTGAAGATATTTATAATATTAGCTCATAACTAACTGATTATTTTTATATTATATAATATATTACTGATTTCATATTTTTTTTTATAAATAATATATATAGAGTTTTTATATATAAAATATATTATTGAATCAAATCAATTTAACAGATAATATATACAATAAAAATTTAAAATAAAAATAATTAAATAGATAATTAAAAAATACATATACAATAAAAATGATACTACTCACTACAATAAAAGTAAAATTTTTATACGTTAAAATTTATCATAATTTTTTGTACGAATTTCCTAAATATTTTTTCAAATCAAAAGACTTAAAAAATTCTAATATAATTTTAAAAATTCAAAAATGTATTAGAATATTATATTCAAAACCAAATAAATTTAAAAAAAAAAATATATACAATAAAAAAAAATTGATTAATAAAAAAACCAATTAATAATTAAAAAATATATACACAATAAAAATGGATATATTAAAATAAAAATAAGGTTTCTATTATGATATTCATCCAATCAAAATATTTGAAAATTTGAATGTAATTTACAAATTAAATTTTTTATAATATAATACTTGAAACTAAATTAATTAATATATATATATATATATATATTGTATAAAAAACTACATACATTGTATGTACATTTTTTTTCTTTTCTTGAGATATTTTTTTTCTTATTTTCTTCTACATTATAGTATGTATAAAATAATTTATTAGTAAACTTAAAAAATTATATATACTAGTAATAATAAGATAATCAATATAAAAAAATAAGTTGGTTAATTTATACATAATCAAATTTAAAAATTTAAAAGTTAAATATAAAAATTTCACTATATATTGATAGAAAAATTCAATCTTTTTGTAAGATTATAATGAATGATAAAAAATTATATTAATAAATAAATAATAGAAGAGATATGACATTTTTTCGTATAGAAAAAAATTCTTCACACCCTTAAAAGAGTATCAAGAATGACATAGAAAAAAAAAAAAAAACTACGAGTCATCCAAACCAAAATAAAAAATTTACTATAATCAATTAAATACAAGAGTTTTTCAAGAATCCATATTAACACATTCGAATAACTAACAAAAATAAACAATTTAAGAAAACAAACCCGAGAAACTCTATAAATTTATGATAGAAATTTACAGCTATCCAATCAAATTCAACGAATTACGAACACTCCATGAAAATTTCAATTTGATCCAACCGTTAACAAAGCTATAATTGCCGTTTTTTCGAACCTGCTCAATGTTGAGCGAAAATCTCATTATAATTTTTGTTGATTTTGGCTTTGATTATTTGACTTAAAATCTCAAGTAGATATATAGATATACTAAACCTTAATTTTATCCTTTTGTTATTAATTATCTCAACAAATCCTAATTTTATTAGATTATTTGTTATCATATCAAAGTTTAATTAATTATTCAAATTCAATATTTTAAAAAATACAAAATTCCAAAATTATAAGAATGCACAAATTAAAGATGTCTTATCAAATATATATATATAATTATTAGAAAAATTCCTTCGATAATTAAATTAAATTTTTACATTGGTCATTCCCAATTAAAACAATAGTGAATTAACCTATTTTAAATACAATATTAAATTCAATTATAGTAATTGGTCATTCCAAAAAATGAATCCTTTCATATTAAATACTCTCTCCGTCCGCTTACAAAGTTTACATGTTTTTATTTTAGGACGTTTAATTACAAAGTTTACATATCATCAAATACCCTACTTTTTTTCCACGAATACCATTGCTTTACATCACATTATTACTTTTACACAAAAAAGTAAGGGAAAAAATGTCATTACATTACTTTTAATTATTCACTGTAATTAAAATATTATTATTTCTTAAATACCGAGCCAAAAATAAATATAACCCTTTGTATATGGACGAAAAGAGTATAATATTAGAATAATTGATGTGTAATCTGAATACTAATCTAATATTTTTTATATATATATAATAAAAATTTAATTCTCATGATATTCATATATATATATATATATTTTTTTTGGATTTTTATACCAAAATTCTATCAATCACTAGTGAATCTTTCAATTTTAATATAATATTAAATTTAATTTTCACAATAGGTCAAACTCAATTCAAAAAGTAGTGAATTTATCCATTGTAAAAATTTATTATTAAATTCAATTATGGTAATCAATCATTCTCAAAACTAAATTATTTAATATTAAATATAATATTAAAATGAACGATGAGTTGTCTGCAGAATAATATAATTACAATAGTCTTTTATTTTTCTAAAAATATCTTTGTATAATAAATTAAATTTTTACTTTTTATAATAAAAAATTTAATTATCTAAAAATTATATCCATATCCATATTTATATACAATTTTTGGATTTTTATACCAAAATTCTATCAAATAATAGTGAATCCTTCAATTTTAAATATAATACTCCTACTTATTACATCCAATTTCCACAATCGATCATTTCCAATTCAAACAATAGAAAAGACATCCATTTCAAATACAATATTAAATTCAATTATAGTAATAGGTCATTCCTAACACTTAATATTTTATATTAAATATAATATTAAAATGATTGATAGATTGTCTGTAGACTAATATAACAAAAAAAAATCAATTTTTATTTTTCAAAATAACTTTGTATAATAATTTTTTTAATTTTTTTTATAATAAAAAATTTCATTATCAACAAATTGATGTTCATATATATATATTACATTTTTATATTTTATCAAATAATAGTGAATCCTTTAATTTTAAATATAATATTGAATCAAATTTTAGTCATTCTCAGGACTGAATTCATCCATTTTAAATAAACATTAAATTCAATTATTGTAATTTGTCACTTCCAAAATAGAATCCTTTCATATTAAATATAATAATAAAATAATTGATGAGTTGTCTGCGTACTAATTTAATCAATTTTTTTTTTTTTTCATAATATCTTTATACAATAAATTACTTTTTTATTTTCTATTTCTTTTATAATAAAAATTGTAACTCTTTACAAAATAATATTCATATATATATTGGATTTTTATACCCAACTCTTATAAAACAGCAGTGAATCCTTCAATTTTAAAAATAATACTCTCTTTGTTTGCCAAATTTATTTTTATTTTTCTTTTTTAGTTCGTCGACTAAATTTATCCCATTACTAATTTTTGCAAAGTCAACAAATCAACATTTAATTTTTACCCTATATTCAACATTTATTTACAACAAATACCATTAATTTTATTACATTTTTCTTTTCATTCACTTTAATTTCTTACTAAATTATCAAAAATCACCCCTTCTATCTATTACATTTTCAATAAAAACATTCATTTTTTCTTGATATCATTGTCAATCCAAATGGGATAATTTTAATGGACCGATATAGTATTAAATAAAATATTCACAATTGGTCATTCTCAATTCAAACAGAATTCAAATATTTTAATACAATATTAAATTCACTTATCTTAATAGATCATTCTCCAAAACTGAATCCATTCTTATTAGATATAATATTAAAATGATTTATGAGTTGTTTGCACACCAATCTAACTAAAAATTTTTGTTTTCTTTATTTGATTTTATTTCAAAAATCTTTCTACGATAAATTTTTTTTTTTTTACTTTTTTGTATAATGAAAAATTTAATTCTTTATAAAATAATATTCATATTAAATATGTAAACTTTTTTAGAATATATATATACCAAAATCCTATCAAACAATAATGAATCCTTCAATTATAAATATAATATTAAATCTAATTTCCATGGTAGGTCATTCTTAACTCAAACAGCAGTGAATTCATCCATTTTAAAGCCATCTCCAACCAATTATTCTATTTTCGCTGCAGCTACAATAAAAATGCAGTTGATCTACATTAATTTTACTTTATTCATAAACTTCAATTTTCACTTTAAAAAATGTATTCCTTATATATTCCTATTTTATAGTATTATTTTATATAACTTTTCATATTTATAAACTACATTCCAATTTAAAAAATTATTACACATTATTTTTCAAAAATAAAATTTTATATCACTTTCCAAAAAGAAAAAATGTATATCACTTTAAAAAAAAAATAAAATTATATATTTTTTCTAAAAAATA